AAGCACAAAGCAACTCCTCTTTTCTCCCACAACCCCTGAAATAAATGGCTTCAGCTGAGCGGGAATTTGGGGAAGACGGAGCGAGGTCCCTGGTGCCTGCAGTGGGGGACACACACTCAGCGCCAGGAGGGAAATGTGGGAGCTGCTCCGGCGGGATGGGATGGATGGGATGGATGGGATGGATGGGATGGATGGGATGGATGGGATGGATGGGATGGATGGGATGGATGGGATGGATGGGATGGATGGGATGGATGGGATGGATGGGATGGATGGGATGGATGGGATGGATGGGATGGATGGGATGGATGGGATGGATGGGATGGATGGGATGGATGGGATGGATGGGATGGATGGGATGGATGGGATGGATGGGATGGATGGGATGGATGGGATGGATGGGATGGATGGGATGGATGGGATGGATGGGATGGATGGGATGGATGGGATGGATGGGATGGATGGGATGGATGGGATGGATGGGATGGATGGGATGGATGGGATGGATGGGATGGATGGGATGGATGGGATGGATGCGAGGCAGAGCCGGAGCACACAACGCACAAACACACACCTACAGGTGGGTGCAGAGGGACAGATTTTGCCATATTTAAAGAAAGACAATTTGAAGAGCTGGATCGTACATAGAGCCCACGCGAGCAGGGAGACCCCGCTGCATTTACGTGGCTCTTTCCAGGTGGAGGACGCACAACCATAAACAGACAGAGAGACAAAACATAAACACCTTGTATAACGCGCTTGTGTTACATTCGCTCCAGGCAGGAGCGTTTGCTCCTTAAGCTGCACCCAGGTCACATCCCCGCCAGGCTTCTGCTCTGTGGGTGAAGCCATCACGGACCCCCACCACGCTCTTTTCCCCCCCCGGAGGCAGAAATGGGCTCGGGGTTGGTCCCCTCTGAGGTTTTGGGCTCCCTGGCTGAGGAGCTCGGGCAGGAGGAGGATGCAGGAGGTGGGAAGTGGCCTCATAGAAGGGCACTTTCTGAAGGTTTGGGGCTGGGAGAGGAGGGGGCACCAGCAGCTGCGGCTTTTGGCCAACTGGAGGGAGACACCCAAACTGGAAGTTTCGGGTTCAACAAGCTGGAAATTACACAGAGCTCCACCTCGGCCCTCCTGGTTTTTCATAAAGAAACTAAAAAGCAAGGAAGGAGCCTCCAAACAAGCCCGGGGAGGGGAGAAGAAACCTGGGAGGTGAAGGGACGGCGGCAACCCGGTTAAACAAAACACCCTGAGTTTGAAAACATCCCAAATTTCACCCCAAAAAGGGGAGGGGTGAGTGTCAGAAGTGCACTGCAGTGATTGTGGCGCCGGGGCTTCAGCATGGAACGGGGATAAAAAGAGCGAGAAGTCAGGCCGGGCTCTCTGTTCCCCTGCCAGCTGATCTGTTCAAAGGATCCACGAGAAATGCGCTATAAAGTACAGATTCTGGCCCTCCAGGCATCAGGGAGAGAAATATTCGCACCTACATCCCCCGGGCTTCCGGGGATGTCTGTGGGGTGGAAAAGGAGGGGCCGGCGGTGAAGGGAGAAAAAAAAAAAAAGAAAAAAAAAAAAAGAAAAAAAAAAAAAGAAAAAAAAAAAAAGAAAAAAAAAAAAAGAAAAAAAAAAAAAGAAAAAAAAAAAAAGAAAAAAAAAAAAAGAAAAAAAAAAAAAGAAAAAAAAAAAAAGAAAAAAAAAAAAAGAAAAAAAAAAAAAGAAAAAAAAAAAAAGAAAAAAAAGATCAAAATGTTTGCCTTTAATTGATTTTTTTTTTCTTCCCAGAAATATTGCCAAAATCAGAAACCAAAGAGCTGGGCTCCCTTCCAGACCCAGAATTCATTTTTCCAACAATTGATTATTTCCAAACGTTAAGTCTTTAAGTAGTTCCAATTTTTTTTTTCCCCCTTCAAACTGCTTTGGGGTTTGGGTTGGTTTTGAGGTTTTTTTCCTTGTATTTTGTAACGCCAGCCTCAAATTCAATTGCTTTAAAAAAATAAATAAATCACAGACTATTAAAAAGTTATTCCCCAGCTTTTTCGGTTTCCAGATGGTATAAATATTAAATGGATCCTAACGAGAATATAATAAAAGAATAGTCGCAAACTAATAAGCACATTTGATAATTTTAAGCCCCATCACAGACAGGAGAGAGGAACTAGTAAAAGAAATCTGTTTTGTTGCTTTGGTTTTTTTTTTTTCCTTTAAAATAACCCAGTTCCTCGTGCTTTATTGTGACCTTAAATATCGCTTAAATTTCTCAGTAAAATTGTCAAAAAACACCGGAAATCTCAATATCACTTTGGAAGCCGCATTTTAAACTATTTCCACGAGAAACCCTGCTCGAAAATTTCCGAGCGTGTTAGAAAGGGGGTGAACTGGAGGGAAGCGAGGGCTTAAAAGCAGGAGGGACGCTGCAATTTCGGAAACCGGGAATACCTCTAAATAAATTAGCCGAAGCGCATGAGGGATTTTTTTTTGGGGGGTGAAAAAGGTGAATTCCTCCCCGACGCTGCTTCTGCGCGGGCAGCATCCGCGGGAGGCGGAGGGGAGGCTGCGGCTGCCGGCCCCCACCCGCGGGGAGTCCTCGGGAAACGGGATAAAATCCGATTTCCATCAATCAGAGGTTCCGTACCCTCGTTTATCGGGGTGTCTGTGCGCCGGGCGGCCGGTGGATCCCACTCCTCTTATTTTTATTTTTTTTTCCCCGCTTGGATTTAAGAAAAAAAAAATTAATTAAAAGGAAATAAAGTGACACAAACTACCAGGAAAGTCTGCAGCCCGTCGCTCTCTGTCCGCGGATCCCGCTCCAGCCTCAAGCCGGGACATCTCGGGGGCTTCTCCCCGCGACACCCCCGCGGGGAGCGGGGTCTCTCTCCCCCGCCGCCGGGGGGGCTCCGTGGGGGCTCCGTGGGGCCGGGGCAGCCCCGACGGCCGCCGCCACAGCGAAGCCCCGAAGCCAACAGGCTCTTAACTTTCAACTTGGCCTTGACCTCCGGATTGAGCCCGACCTTTCCCTGGGAAGGAAGCGGGGAGAGACGCGGGGGAGCTGCGGCCCCGTCGGCAAACACCGGCCGCCCGTCGCCCCAGCCCCCGGGTTATGGGGCCGGTTCAAAGCAAACGGGGAGAGGGCAGGAGCGGGGGAGAATAAAAAGGGCATCAAAGAAGGAGTGCAGTCGTTAAACTACGGAAAAGGGAAGAAAGAAGCTCTGAAATCGGAAAGGTGAAGGCTAAAAACACTGAGATTTAAAAAAAAAAAAAATTTATTTTTCTGCAGGAAAAGAAAATGACGGGATTCGGTGAGAGTGCGGCGTTTTTAGCGGAGGAGAAGGGTCGAGGAGGGAAGATGCAGCTTCGTAATGTGGTTTATTTCTTTCCCGGGGAGAGAGGAGAGGGTGCGGGAGCGGATCTCGCCGAGACAGCGCGGGGCAAAGCCCTGGGGGTGCGGGGAGCGGGAAGGAGCCGCGTTTGAGGGGGTGGGCGATCTGCCCCCTGCAGCCAAACGGGGCTTTTCCCCGCCTGGGCGAATCTGCAATCATCCCTTTTAAGCCCTATTTTTGTCGCGATTTCTGTCCCTGTGTGTCCCACCCTGTGGTGGCTCCTCTGGCCCGATGGGTCGTTGCTTTGGTGGCCCAAAGACGTGGCAGAAGGAGGATTTTTATTGCGATTTGGTAGCCAGAAAGCAGAAATCTCTCCATTTCTTTGCACGAAGGAAACGAGGCCTGAGCTCAAGATGCCTTTGGGGGAATTCCGGCAAAGCTTTTCCTCAGAAAAAAGCCCTTTGGGGGAAAACCAGAGAGAAAAAGGAGACAAAAACGCGGCTGTGCGTGTTCATACCATGTGTACGGGCGACTCGAAACGCCTGTACCTGAGTCATTTATCACCACGCACATCGACACAGGCCTCCGTGTATTTACCCCAAACTTTTCCAGGCCGATGGGATCCCTCCATCCACCGTGTCCGTCTGTCCTTCCCCTTCCCGCCTGTCTCTCCACCTGCCCGGGGCTCCTGGGCCCCAGAAGGACTCACTGTATTATTTTCTCACCTCTCTTTTCCAAACCTTTTCCCTTCGGGATGTTTCTTAGCCCTGGTCCACACAGGCCAGACACCCCCCCCCCGCCCCGAGGCAATGCCTGTGTACAAATAGATTGTTTGCTCCCCCTCCTTTGAAGCTATTTTTTGTGTGTGCCTGGGCCCCCCTTTCCCCTCTCTCCTTGCTGTTCAGGCCGTGCCCTGTCCCTCTGCCCAAGGACACAGGTTTCGGCCTTTTGCAGCTGAAAGTGGGGGTGTGTGACGATGTGTGTGGGATAAATCCTCCCCCCCCCCGCCTTGAGAAGGGGCAGAGAGTGAGGCCGGGGAGCAGGGGAGACCCCGTTCCCGGGGGGTTCATCGGTGCCCCACGGCTGCCCACCGCCACCCCACTGGGCCGAGGGGGGGGTCCTCGGTTCCCCTTGGGCTGAGGGGGGTGTTTTTTCCAGGGCAGAAATCCTCGGACCTGGGTGGGAAGAGGGGGCCGTACC